GTGAGACTCAAGCCTTCAAGTTTAGGTCTGCTTCTTTTTGTAAACTTTATGTGCCTTTGTGGTTTACTTTTTGGGTAAGAAACATTAGTTCATCTAAGCTTCCAGTTCTCTCATTTGATTTTATATTGGAGTGGCCAGATTGCTTTTGTCTTCAGGAGTTCCTACAGAGGCCCAAGTCAAATGAGGATCAGATGCTCTCAGCCTTTCTCCTAAAGTCTGGATCCCTCCAGGAAAGATTTTGTCCTCAGGAATTTGGGGGTTGGACTGGCCTGGGAGCAGGGCCCAGGAAAGATGCTGGTCTAGGGCAGCTGGTTGCTATGCCACCCAGAGATGCAAAGGGCAATGGGGGCAGGAAGAGGTCCCAAGGGCTCCTGGGGACTGCAGGGAGGAACTGGATTGTTCTGGATGCAAAAAATCAGGAGGAAGCCGAGAGGTCAGCCCTGGTGACCAGGAAAGAGGCTGGTGGGTTGTGCAGCCCAGGGAAGCAGAGGGAGGTGAGTGTGAGACCCAGCCCAGAGGGCTCCTGAGGACCGCGAGAAGGAACTGGGTTCATCTGGATGCAAGGGATCAGGAAGCAGTGGTGGTTCCCCAGGTGTCTGGGGTTTGAAGACAAGGAATGGGACAGGACCCAGGCTTGGAGGAGAGAGGCTGATGGGGCTGGGGGAGTCAAGGCACCCAGGGCGTGATAGACACCCAGCAGAGAGGCTGGTGGGTTGTGTAGGCCCAGGGAAGCAGAGGAAGGTGAGGGTGGGACCAGGTCCAGAGGGCCTGGGTTTGTCTGGATGCAAGGGACCAGGAAGCAGCAGTGGTTCCCAGCCTAAAAGTCAGCCCAGGTGTCCAGGAAAGAGGCTGGCGGGTTGTGCAGCCCAGGGAAGCAGAGGCTTTTTAATGATTTTTATGTGCATAATCTTATCAAATATTAGTTTCATTTCTTACCTTCCAGCTGATTTTTATTTTGTTTCATGATTTATCATAGCATTTTATATAACAGTTTATTTGTGGTGAATAAGATCTGTCACAGTCTGATGTCATCTACACATGTGTTCTTCCCTGTTTTTAGAGATCATTTAGATGATCCACTGGATGACACTGCCACCGTGTTTCAGCAGCTGGAGCAGTTGCGCACTGTCAGCAGGTGTGAATACGAGAAGACATGTACTCTTCTTGTACAGCTGTTGGACCAAAACTCACAGAATTATCAAAAACTTCTGCAATCACCTTCTAGGATAACTGTTGACATGGCAGTTCAAGAAGGTCAGTCAGTTTTATGATTATTATGAGCAATATGCTTGAATATTAAGTAATATCATTAATCACTTTAATACTCTTATTGTAAATTAATTTTATGTGTTTCTCCCAATGTTTTGTCCCTTAGTAAGCCATTAATTTCATTAAATTGCTGGGTATTTTTGGTGGCTTGACCATTGATTTTTAATTTTTCTTTATAAGATTCATAGGAAATAACTTCAGCATGCCCTCAGTGTCTAGAAGAGTGTTAATGATCTTTAAGCAGATAATGTGTCATAATTGTCTTTGAAATAGTCTCATTTCTTTGTGGGGTTTTTTGTTTTTTTTTTTTTTTTTTCCTTTTTGAGTCAGGGTCTCCCTGTAGCCCCAGCTGTTCTGGAACTCACTATCTAGGCCAGGCTGGCTTTGAACTCACAGAGATCCGCCTGCCCCTGCCTCCCCAGTATTGGCATTAAATCATGTGCCACCATGCCCCGCTACTTTGTTTTTTATAGTAGATTGCAAGCTCAGTCAAATTTCAGCCAGTGAAAAGGACCGCATCACAGTTTTAATTTACTTCACTATGGCTTTTTAATTTTATTTCTTACTTCCCTCATTATTTTAATCCTATTGAACGAGGGTCTACTTATATTTTTGTATCTCTGTCAGTTCTTTTCAGTTTGATACCTGGGAATCACAATATATATTGCATATTTTTTTAATTTTATTTTTATTTTATGCACATGTGTATATTGCCTACATGTAGGTAAGTACACCCGCGTTGTGCAGTGCCAGCAGCGGAGCACAGAGAGGCTGTCGGGTCCCCTGGAACTGGAGTCACAGACCATTGTTAGCTGCCATGTGGGTGCTGAGATTTGAACCTGGGTCCTCTGCAAGAACAGCCAGCCATTGGTCTTAACTGCTGAGCCATCTCTCCATCCCAATATTTCAGATATTTTAATGTAATGTTTCATAGGAATGAAACTAGATTTGTAGCTTTTTTCCTTTCTTTTTTGTTAATTTTTTAGGTTAGTAGCCAGAAAAATGGGTTTCACTGTGGCATCTTCACATGTCTCTTTTTACTGTGTTCTAGTTCATTCCCCTCTCCCACTTCCCCCATGTGCCCTCTGCATCCCTCTGACTGACTCTCTCTCTTCCCCCATAGTCTCCCCTGCTTTCATTTCACCTTCCCCTTCTCCTTCCTCTCATAAGAGCTCCTCTCCCATTTTATATGACCCTGTGTCTAGTTCCATGACTTGTACATGCCCAATTATATAAATATACTCTTTTATAAGTATCCCTGTATGTATAATTTTAAATCTAATTTTTACATATTAGATAACACAATATTGGGCTTTCTAAATATGGCTTATTTCTCTTAAAATTATGATTTCTCTAGAAGAGTTCTATCCATTTTTCTCCAAATGTCATGATTTCATTTTTTTAATGGCTAAATAAAATTCTGTTGTTCATATGTATCACATTTTTTTAAATCCATTCATTTGTTGATGGATATCTAGGATGGTTCTGTTTCCTGGCTGTTGTGAGTAGTACAGCATTAAATAGGGAAATGCAAGGATCTCTGTGATATGTTGACTTAGAGTCTGTATTAGTCAGGATTCTCTAAAGAAACAGAACTAATAAAATTTATATAAGGATTATTAGATTCGTTTAGAGGATGGAGTCCAAGTAGTCCAACAATAGCTGTGCCACACTGGAGAGACTGAGAATCTGATAGTTGCTCAATCCATGAGGCTGGATGTCTCAACAGTCCCAGTCTGGCACTGAGGGCCTGAAGGATTCCTGGAGGTCTGCTAGTTTTCAGTCTACATTGGAATCCCAAGAAGTTAGTTCTATCAGCAAAGGAATACCATAACAGTAACGTGAACTCAGCAGTGAGAGAGAAGGTAAGTAGGCAAAAAACAAACCTCCCTTCTCCCACTGCCTTTTGTATGGGCTGCCATCAGAAGGTGATGCCCACCTTTAGGGTGGGTCTTCCAGTTTCAAATGATCCAATCAAGAAAATCTCTGTTTTCTGTTAATTCCCGATCCAGTCATGTTGACAAGATTAGGCCATCACAGCATCCTTCAGGAGGGTGTGTGTGTGTGTGTATATTTATACATATATGTAAATACTGCTGTGTGTGTATGGTAGCACATGCCTTTAACCCCAGCACTTGGGAGGCAGAGGCAGGAGGATCTCTATGAGAACAAGGCCAAGACTGGTCTGTGTAGTGAGTGTCAGACCAGCTGGGACTACAGGGAGATCCTGTCTCAAAAAGACCATAAATAAATAAACAAATTAATTAACTAATTAATTAAAAAATAAATGTTTATATAAGGTATGATGAATGTATTTTTATATATTTAAATATAAATATACTTCTCCCACCACTCTTATAGAGATGAGTGGCATATCTCTATCTCTTTCATATAGTAGTTCTACTTTTAGTTTTCATTTTGTTTAGTTTTTAATAAACTTACATACTGACCTCTATAGTAGCTTCATGTTTACATTCCTAACAGCACCAAATAAAGGGTTCCTCTGTCCCATATCCTTGCCAGCATTTGTTGTTATTTGTTTTTTGATGATAGCCATTCTGAGAGGGGTGAATGATTTTTCACAGAAGTTTTAAATTGCATTTCCCTGATTTCAAAGGATGTTGAGAACTTTCTTGTGTTTCTCCTTTTGATAACTGTATATTCGATTCCCTTGCTCATTTACCGATTGGGTGGGTTTTTTTGTGTTTTGTTTTGTTTTTAAGACTTTTTTTAGTTCTTTGTATAGTCTAGAAATTACTTCCCTGTCTAATGTGTAGTCAACATTTTTTTTCTAATTCTCTAGGCTTTCATTCTGATAATTATCTGTATGCTTGGCAGAAGCCCTTTAATTTCACATAGTCTCATCATTTATTAGGAGTATTTCGTACAGTGCCTTTCAGAAAGCTCTTGCCTATACCTGTGTCTTGAGGCATTTAGCTTGTTTTCCTTTAGCAGGTTCAGAGTTTCAGGTCTTATCTAGGTTCTTTAATCCATTTGGGCTAAGTTTTGTCCACGAAATACATCAATGAAATTTCGTTTCTTTACATGTGGAAATCTAGCATTCCCAGCATCATTTGTTAAAGAGACTATTTTTCTCTAACGTATGTTTTTGAAACCTTTGTCAAAAATTATGTGGCTGAAGCTGTGTGCGCTTACTTCTGGGTTTTCTAATTCGCTGGTCTACGTGTCTATTTTTGTGTCAGAACAATGCTGATTTTGTTACTGTGACTAATAAAATTTGAGATGAAATACTATGATACCTTCAGCATTGCTCTTTCTGCTAAGCAATGCCTTGGATATTCTGGGTCTTTTGTGCTTTCATATGAATTTTAGTATTGATTTTTCTAGTTCTGTGAAGAATGTCTCTGGGATTTTGATTGAGGTTGCACTGAATCTATAAATCACTTTTGGTAATGTAGCCATTTTCACAATATTAGTTCTGCCATTAATGGCCATGGAAAGCCTTTTTGTCTTCTAGTATCTTCAGTTTCTTTCTTCAGTGTTTTAATGTTTTCATTGTGAAGGTCTTTGACATTGTTGGTTAGGTTTATTACTACGTTGTTTTCTTTTAAGCTGTTGTGAATACGGTTTTGATTCATTGTATTTTATAAGGGTTGTTTTGTGGCTGACAAAGTGGTCTATTTTGGACAAGGTTCCATGGGCTAGCTAGAAGAGTATGTGTTCTTTATCTGTTGGATGGAATATTATGTAAATATCTGTTGGGTCCATTTGATATATGTTATATTTTAACTCTTGAGAATTCTTTGTTGATTTTTAGTTTCATGACTTATTTGAACTTTTGTGTTCATTAGCATTTGTTTTATGAAATTGGGAGCCCCAGTGTTTGGTACATATATATTTCAATTGTTACAGCTTTTTGATGAGTTGTTACCTTTGCTTACCTGTACTAGCCTTCTTTATTTCTTCTGACTCGCTTAGAAGTCTACTTCATCAGCTCTCAGAGTAACTGTGCCAGTTTGTTTTCAGCTTCCAATTGTTTACTCTGTTGTTTCTCTATCCTTTGATCTGGGTATCTTACTATTTAGATAGTTGCATCTGATTTGTTAATCCAGTCAGCCAGTCTTTGTCTCTTTCTTAGTGATATTAATCTGTTCAATTTAAGGTCATTATTCAGAGATCCGATGCTCTGATGTCTCTGCCTGTTATGTGACTTCTGTGGAGACATGAACAAACATCAACTCACCCCAGATAAAGAACCAACAACAGATCAAAATAACTGTTTCACTAGAGTCCAATTTGGGAAATTGATGAGTTTATTGGATTTACTTATGGGAGTATGAGGGGCTACTTCCAGGAAGAAGGATGACTCAAAGACAGGCATATCACAGAAAAACCCACTGCATGGGTGATAAGTAAGGAAAGCCACACACTAGAGTTCTCTGGGATGAGATCTTCTGAATGAGGATTTGAAGCCAGCTGAACATGTAGGAGATTCTCAAGGAGGCATCTTGGCTGGTCAGAGTCTTCTTTCTCTAGCCATTGTTGATTCCTTCTATAACCTTGTAACTCTTGGAAGTTTCAGCTTTCCTGAATTTGTGAGGTTTGTTTATTTTCCCTAGTCTTCTTACTAGGGGAGAATGCTTCAGTTGAGAGGAAATTGCCATGCAACCCTGCCTCTGTAGATGAGTTGGCCTTTTCCCAGTACTGTTCCATGGTTTTGTGTTTTCAATGTCTTCACTATTATATATGTTTGTAGAGGTCTGCTTTGGTCATGTTAATTCAGAGTTCTAAATGTCTCTTATGCTTACATGTCTATTTCTTTCTCTAGATATGGGGAATTATCTACATTGAAAGGAGTCTCTGTGCCTTTGGTGTTTGTCTCAGCCTTTTGTCTCCTGTAGCTTCTAAGGATTGAACTCTTGGTCATTTGATGATTGATTGAGTTCTTTGATGTGGTTGTGGTTTTGAAAGCCTCCTTCTTCATGTTTCAGTGTAGTATTTCATCAGCCTTTGTTCTACCCTTG